CTTTCGATATTTTATATTTATTCCAGCTTTTTCTTTCCATGTGAACAACAAGTAGATTTTGTCAATAACATATGTTATTATGGTTGTCAATCAAGGGATCCAGTATTAGGTATGTGGCAAACAAGTATTCATATCTTATTTCCAACGATATGTGTATTGATATGTAATGGTACCCTTTTATTTCGAGTTTATCGATCAAAAGCTCGTCTTCGTCGATCAATAGATTGGCGAAAATATCGATTAATGATCTTTCAACTTGTTTCTATTTCATGTCTCTATCTTTTATTTAACTTACCATTTGCGATTGTCTATCTTTGGGTTATAGTAGCTCCGACACCTTTTATAATCGACTTATTGCAACGGGTTGGTTTTTTGACATATTTTATTTGGTTATTATTTCCTTTTGTGTGTTTGTGTTCAATACCACAATTGGAATCGAAAATGAAGAAAATTCTACATTGTCAAATATTACCTGTTAGTAGGGAAATGCAACCAAGAGCGATTCGCCTTGTGAAGATTCAAGCACAATAAAAAGCACTTGTGTCGAAAAACAAAATTAAATAACATTTTGTCATTTTTTTCAATGTATTCATATAGTTTTATGTAAATTCTAGTGTAGACATATAAACTTAACTCTCAGCTAGAAAGTATACAAATCAATTTGCTAATTGTGACGAAAATGGAAGAGATTAAGGAATAGTGTATCGTTATTGCTAATGTATTTTATTTCTTATCGTTTTTGCGTACTCAAAAAGTGAGTACACTACTAGAATCGGTCATTGTGACCGGCCGTATACACAATAACGTTTGAAAAAATAGTCCGATTGAGCTGAAATTTTGTGCATAGAACTGTTTCATCAAGATCTCGGTCGAGTTCGAAGATGAGCAGAATTGGCTGGGCCATTCCTGAGTTATTGCAAAAATACTGATATTTCCCTATGATTTCTATATACACTTGTTGCAGTACACATAACTCTCGGATATAATCCGAAGTTTCCACATTTTTTCTTCATAGAATCTCTAACTCAAGTATTTACATCCATTCATCAATGATCGAACCCATTGAAAAACTCTTTTTTTGTTTCTCGAACTATTTCAGCTAATTAGTTAGTTTTCTTTGTATCATATTTATATTCATTTCATATTATTCTAGCTTTCTTTTTCTATTGTTTTAATTGCAATTTGAATAAATATATTTAATCATCATTGATTCTCTATCTTAATGTTTTTCATTTTGTATCTATTTACCACCTGATCTTTCACTAGCTGGCTAAAAGAGTAAACATAGATATGTATATATAGAAGAAAAAATATACGAGAAAGGTTTTACAGACAACGAAAAAAACAAGAACGACGAATACATTTACGAGGAGGTCGTAACATCCCTTTCTAATATTTGGTCAAATGCTGGAAGAATTAACAACGTACATTAAAAGAGAAACAGAAAATATAATGGTTCACATCACGAAAATCATGTGCAAATATATGTTATTGAGAAAATATCTGAAACAGGAAAATACAAAGAAAAAATGACGAGCTGATCTCTTCATTGATTTGATTGTTAAAAAAATATGAAGTTCATTTAGATAAGTTGAGTTTAGTAAATGAAGATTAGCTGAGAATATTCCAGCCTATATTGATACTCTCAAGAGAAAACAATTTTATGTAAAAGTGTATTTATTTTCTAATTCTGTTGAATCAGTGATATTATCATACAAATATTTCGAAAAAGTCTTAGTCACAGTTGTGTTACTTCTCTTTTCGTTATTAGTTTTAGACTAATTGATTAATTCTTATGCGTCAGTGTAAAGTTCACTGATATAAAGATATTTATTTATTAATATTAAAAATTGTAATAATACAATGAAGAATTGGGACTTTGTAGAGATACAAGAGTTATATTACGTTTTGTTATTTTAATTGCACATGTCCATATACATGCACGATTCAATACTGTATAGAAAGTGGAGTTTTGATTATAAATATAAACACCTTTGTTACTTGGGTTTGCATTATAATCATTGAAATATCGACGACCAGCATAATCATGTTGAATAAATCCAATGACTGACACTGCACTTGAAAAATTGTATGACCATGATGATTGATATGTTCCATTCAGATTAAATAAAGAAATCGAATTACCTGTACCAAAAACTAGTTGTGATTGCCATAAAGTAAATGGAGTAAAAGAACCCGTACTTTGTGAATCTGCAGTAAGAATTTTTGTTCCATTAATTAAATGAATTGTTATTGGACTTGCAGATGAACGATAACTAATATAGAGGCGATTGGTATCATAATAAGAATAGAATGGAGGACCCACTGTTGAAATATTTTGTTGTGACATTGTAGTACTCGTATTTGGATTGAATAATTGGGTTTCAAGACGCGGAATACTGTAAGGACAAACAATAAATGTATTTATTTTTGGATTGTAGTTGATACAGCCTAATGAAGAACCATATGCATATGCTGTTATCAATTGTCCATTATAACCATAATGACGAATTGCACTACTATCACTAGATGATGTATAGAAACCGTTTGATGACATATACACATCTCGTTCAGCTAATGGAAGTGGAACATTATTATTTGCTACAATTAATTTTTGAAATGCATCATAAACAGTCATGGATTGTCCTGGCGAAGCTGGTGTACAAATATAATCAGGTTCTGAATAGATAGTCGACAAATCATAATTGTTTGTTTTTTGTAAACAATAATTAAGAATAAAAACACTACTTGTATGTATTGATGGAATAAGTGTACCAGTTGATCCAAGTGATTCAAATAAACGGCATTGTTTTGTCGAACTATCATAATCACATGTACGACATAGATCATGTTTATTACAAGCAGCAACACAATATATAATTGATTTAGCATTGACTGTATCAAGATAATGTTCAATTATTGGAGGTTGAAATTGAACTGATGATATTTTTTGTGTATGAGCAACATAAGTATCAGATGCACAATTGGCAACACGAATACGAGATGCTATAACTGTAGCCAGTAAAACGATGTTAATAGTAAAAGTATTCATTTCAACGTTATCTGTATGACAAACTTTTTCTAACAATCTCATTAAATATTGCCAATATTTATACGCAGACATTTTTCTATCATTATGTAGTATGATACTTAAAAAAGCCAATTAGAAATATTGTCTAGGTAAATCACAGTCAGTATAAATATATATGGAAAATGATAAGTATATAGCAATTAATTGAAGATATTTTTTAAAACTAAATGCTCCTGTGTTATTCAGTGCATTGATTCTCACTTTGTTTCTGTTAATGTCTGAAATGACGTAGAACTTTTTTAATAGTGTGTTATACAATGATAATGTGAAACATATAAAATAGAGAATATTATTATCCAGTCAGCCATATACAATGAATGAGCATTGATATGAATCTTCTCTTAAAAACATTTTCTACTTACATTCATAGTTTAATTGAAAATAGGTAACTTTTTCTTATCTCATTGTACATTTTCTTTAATTATTCCTATAATACTACTATAATGCTGTTTCTTATACATTATTCATGCCCATAATGCGAAGTTTCTGTCTTATTCATTTAAACATATTTTAATAATTAAAACAAATCTAAGTCAATCCAATTACTTTATTTGAGATTTTGTTTTCTATAGATCATAAAAAAGGCTTCGACAGATGAGGACAAAATAATTTTTCTAAAATTAAATTTGACATTTAGATCAGATCTTTTTAACTAAACATTATATTATATCAGAAATGATTGGTAAATTATATTGAATTCTTAATTAAAAGATTTTTGAGATTTTATTTAAAAAACAAAAAATAATCATTAACCGACTTCTAGATTATAAACGTACTCAGATTGATGATTTCCGAAGTAGATTTTCGTAAACTTCCTAGGAAAAAACCACTGTGATATGCTAGGAATTGTAAGTGAAAATTCAATAATCGTATTCAACTACCAGTTTTACCAAATTCTTGATGTTTTAAGTGGAACCGAAAAAATTAAGTCATCAGATTCTTTTTCGAATAACTGCTTCCAAGTTTCTAGCATTTTTCGATGCTTTGTTTTGCATTCAGCCTGTATTTTTTCGACCTGTGTATTTAATAATACATTTGAAATATTTCAATCACGAGTTTTGAAGTTGTTTACGTCAGAAAAGCTTCTAATGCATCAGATGTTTTATTTAAGATATACTTAGGATAATATGTGATGTAATGAGTTTTTAAGCGTAGGAAGTCATATGACCTTTTTATTTCTTGTATTCACTTTTGATAATGTTAATCCTAATAAAACTAGTTCATAAATAAATTAAATTTCATCTGATAAGAAAAATCTATTGATATTTTTTTAATATAAAATGCTATTTTTCACTATCCAATCGATTTGTACGAATGATAGTAATATCAGGCACGAATCAATTTGATATCTAAAGACAGTGGCGTAGCCAGGATTTTTAGACTAATGGGGAAACTTCTTTTGTGTCGAAAAAAAACGATGGGTAGAATGGAAAAAACTTTTATTGATAGGCCAAACCTTTTTGGCTCAGGAAAGTACCGATGACGTAGAAAAAAACACAAAAAATGAAATGAGATTCTTTTAATCAAACATGTATTATGCTCAGATCTTAAGTTCGAGTTAAGTGTATTTTTAGTTGATTTTAGTGTCTCTGTTTGTAGCATTTATGGATCAAATTCAAACACCAAAATCAGAACGAGAAGAATTCATTTATGTATAAAATTTCCATATTTCATCTGGATTTATATCAAGCTCTTTATGAAAGTCAGCAGCAGTAAGTCCATTTAGTCTATTTTTTTTCACTGTGGACTGACGATAACTTTTAATTGTCGATAATTGTCTGAAACTTCTCTCAGCAGAAGCTAACAACACAGGCTTGCTCTGTGTTCTTGTTTCTCTTCCTTTTGATCTATTCTTCTCTACATTTACGTGATCAACGTTTCCCCAATAAAATCGAATTCATGTTCACTAAAAACTTACAATTAAAAAACAAGAAGCGATTTTTTATTTAATTCTTCTCAGAAAGAAGAAGCAAAGAGTGCATCTGTACTTCAGACGGGAGAAAAAATACAATTATAATTTAATTTAAAAATAAATCAACACTTTTGAAAAAGTAAAATTTCAATGGCCAATTTCCCATTTGCTTCCCCCTGGCTACGCCACTGTCTAATGAACAATTCTATAGTGATATCAGAGGACTATTTCATTGTTTATTTTATTTAAAATAAATCTATACGAACGATAACATCAGTCTAATATTTTTCAGATAATTAAAGTTGACTTATTGTGATGTGGATGTGGGAGATATAGATAAGAGCATTATATTTTATCTTGCTTTTCACAATAGATATGATATTTTAGCATCCATTCGAATAATTAGGATTAAACTTTTCATAGATTTGTAAATTATTCAAGACGAAAGAAAAAAATCGTATGTTGATAGATATTTATATTGAGTGAGTTATTTAAAAACTAAGAAATATGAAAATAAAATTGTAGTCTATAAAGTATGATGATATTGGAAAGGATAATTTTGTTTCGATACAAGAAATTCTTTTGTTATTAGGATGACATTAAATATCTTCGTCTGTCTACAACAGTTTCATATTCTTATTGATAAAAGTGAAAGTAAGACTTTAGACAATTAATCAATTTGTATAGAAAAATAAATTGACCTTTTTATAATTGAACATGATTTATTGTTGAAATGATTTTAGTATTACGTAGTGTAATAGAAATATTGATTATATCTCATTAGGAAAGTGAAGAGGAATTTTCTTTGTTTGATATTGAAATGATTTGTTTGAACTTTTCATATTTAATCTTGTTAATTTGCAATAGTAATCGTATTATTGTAAGAGTAATAAGATTCGTTTCAATCATTGTACTGTTTTTATTATGCACACAATTGAGATTAATTTATATTAAAAAGGAAATAAACTTGTATAAGATTTCATTTGGAAAAAATGAAAAAAAAAGAAGTTTTTGTTGAAAAGAAATCCTTGGATATATAATAATATAGAAAACGAAAGATACATAGAGTTCAATAGATTAAAGTTAATAATAGATTTAGATTTAAAAAAGAAAAGTAGAAGGAAGATAATGGTTAGTATAGAATAGAAATTATAAATCTTTTTTGTTATTATTATCATTTGAAATAATATCTTTTACAACATTAGTTGGATTTTCATTTGATGTTGTTATTCGATTATTTTCATCTTTTGTTTCTTGTTTCTTAACATTTAATATTCTTTTTTGTGTACTCAAAACGTGAGTACACTACTAGAGTCGGTCAGTGTGTTCGGCCGGTCGTTCACACGATATCTTGCAAAAAGAGAGTCAGATTTTGATGAAATTTTCTACACAGTTCAGACTCATAAAGATCTCGGTCAAGTTCGAAGTTGAGCTTAATTGTACGAGGCATTCCCGAGTTATTACAAAAATACTGATATTTTCCTATGATTTCCATATACACTTTTTGCAGTACACATAACTCTCGAATACAATCCGAAGTTTCCACATTTTTTCATTTTATATTCAAAATCTAGTCTATAGATGGAAACAAGAAGAAGAATCAAACCATTTAAATTATTTCAATGGTATCACATTTGATATATTTAAATACGTATTTTAATTCCTATTGTGATACAAACAGATTAAATTATTCATTTATAATACCAGCTTGAAATAGAGACGAACACATGTAGAAAACAATTCTACATTTTATCATTGATCAACAAAACTAGGAAAAAATATTTCTTTTCATTTCAATTTAAAACATTCTCGATAAAGGATTTTTATAGTCATATTCATTTTTTTTATCTTATTACTAATGAAAATCTCTGAAAGATTATTGATAATGGAATAAAATGCGATGTTTATTAGATAAAAAGAATGTATTTAATTGAGTTGTTTATATATGTATATACCAAAAATATAAAGTCCAAATACAATAGTAAAAATAAATAATAGAATTTTCATCCATAAACCATTAATTATATTTGTTGTTTTATGACAAATTAATTCATCTATTTTATAAATATCATTTATTGGTAATGGACAAGAATCAATTGTTGATTCAAGTATTCGTTCAAGTAATAATTTAAACTAAACAAAAATAAAAAAATATTAATTTTCAATAAAATAAAATATTTGTTACTTGATTTATTATTTTTGTCATAAAATTATTTGATAATTTTGAATTTTGTTGAATAATTTGTGTAAATTTTTGATTAATTTTATTAAAATTATTTTCAATTCGAACTAAACGATCATGAAGAGTTGTTAAACCAGTTAAATTAACAAAATTATTAAATAAATGAAATTCTGATGAAATATTTTTTATTGGAATTGATGATTGAAATTGATTATAAATATTTATATTTAATTGTTCAATTATTTTTATTAATTCATCATCTAATTTTAAAGAAAATTTTTCCAAGAATTTTTTACTAAAATGAATATTATTTGAACAATCATTTATTAAATTATTTAATGTTGCATTTACATCAAAATCATCGATCGATTTTATGAAATTATCTAATAAAGAACAAAATTAGTTTTTCTTTTTTTAATTCAAAAAAATGTTTAACCTGTAACATATGAAATTAAAAATGGTTGATCATAATGAATTACTTGACAAGAACTCTGTAAAATCATATCAATTCCATATAGAAGACTAGTTATTAATGATAGAATTATTAAAAAAATGACTAATAAACCAAAATTAATACGGATTAAACAAAGAAATAAATTATGATTATGAACAGTTCTTGATTGATTATTATTAATAAGTGAAGAACTTCTTTCACCATTTGGATTTCTATGATAATTCTTTTCTTTTCTTGATTTTGATTTCTTTGATGATGTCTTATGATTTGATCTTAAAATAAATATTCAAAACGGTTTTTTATTTAATATGTTGAATATATTATTAAATAAATCAAATTCTTTCATTTCTAAAATTTTTCGTTTTAAATTACTCAAATCGTAAATCAGTTCGATATCCATAAAAAATTTCAATGTATTCTAATGAGCTATGAGACAGTTATAGGATACCTAGTACTTTTTACTTTAAACTCTTTGGTACTCAGTACACTTGTGGGATTAGAAGTATATACTTCTTACATTTTAAATGTACTTGGTATTTTTTACTTAAGTAATCCTTTCACTTAGTATCTGTACTAATTTGGATATTAAATGCTTAGGATTTTTACGAATTAAATAATGCGTGAAATATAACAGTGGAAAACGAAATATTATTTATTTTAAACTTAAACATAGTAAAATTACTGTAGTTATTTAAATGTAAAATTAGATGAAAAGTAGAGTTTTCGATTCATCCAGGATTCATCGATATTTCTAGTTATTTTCATCAATTCATAGTTACATAGGTCACACTTACAAGTTATTATTATTAATCAACATCACTTCCTGCTACATTATCACTTGTCGATGAATTCTGGATGAGTCGAAACTCTAGTTTTTTATTTAATTTTACTTCTAAACAACTTATTTAGCTGCATATATTATTAAACTACAAAGATATTCGATCGTAATAGGAGAAATATGAATGAAAACTAGATATGAAGATGTATGTAGCGTACTGGTTCTGATTCAATCTCTGTCATAAGATTTGACTATTGAATTTCTATATTAAGATTAGAACTTGTAAAAAAATATTTTCATCATAGTTTATCAATATCGAAACAAAAACACTTCAATGTTATTTGATCTTATATATATACAATTGTATTACTAAACTAAACTGATTGAAATCCATCGTATAAAGTATAAATTAGTTTACCTTGAAGGATGTGTTGTAGATGATTGTTGATTATAACTGTGAATATGAGATGATTGTAATTGTCGAACATCAAGAGATTGAAATTGATTTTGTAATCGATTATTATTTCTAATTTTATTAAAAAAAGATATATTTTTATTCAAAAGTAAATATATCTACCGATGATTTTTATAAAAAAAAAAATATTTTGAAATAATAATAATTAAAAAAGTGAATGGAAGAATAATTAAAATTGAAATAATAATAAAAATGAAATTGGTAATGAATGAAATAATTGAATGAATTTTGTCTTGTTGTTTATTATTAAATAATTTAAAATTTATTTTATTTAAAATTTGTCCATTTAATATTTCAATAAAAAATTTCATTTGTTCTTCAATTAAATTTTTTAAATAAAAGATTTTTTTTTCAATTTCATTATTATCATTTTTATTAATATAATCACAAATTCTTCTATTTAAATTTAATAAATTTCTATAAGAATTTGTAAATTGTCGAAAAAATTTTGTTAAAATTTCATTATTAACAATTAAAGAATTGAAATAATCTAAATGTTCATTTATATTATTAATAATTAAATTTAATTCTTTAATATCATAATAATCAGAAAATGATTTTATCATTATTGATTTTGAACCATTAACAATTATTGAAGTTGCTAAAAAAAGTCAATTGATTGAAATTATAAAATAAAAAAAGAAAAGAAAATTTTGTTTTTACATTTTGAAGAAAATTGTTGAAATTGTTTTAATAAATATTGTGAAATAGTTTCGGAATTCATTTGAGAATTTATTTGTTTTATTGATTTATTTAAATAAAGTTTTGTGTTATTTATATTTATAATAATATAGATCATTTGAATTAATATAAATAAATAAATTAGATTTAAGAAAATAATAGAAACTAATTTTAAAAATGAATTTTTTGATAATTTTCTTTTATTAAAATTTAAAGATGATATTATATAGAAAATAATTGTTGATATTATTAACAAAATAAGTATTATACTCGAATAAATAATCAGAGATGAAAGCATTTTTGATGGAAATTTCAAAGAATTCTTTTGAGAATTTTTAATATATAATTGAAGATCATCAGATGAAAATGATGAATGAATTATTAATGAAGAAAATTTTGATAAAAAATTATCTCCATTTGGTTTATAAATTGGATGAATTATATTATTGGATTTATTGGTAATCAATGGAATATCATTATAAACATTTAAACAGTTCAAATCGAAAGACATGATTTTATCTAAAATAATATTATATTTTACAAATAGAATAAATGTATCTTTATTTTCTTCAAATAATTCTTCACAAGTAATCGTTAAAAACAATTGAATAATCAACTAGAAAATTTGTTTATCAAATGAAACAACCTATCGATAGACTATGTTAACTTTATACATAGATAGATAGATGTAATGTAACGAAAAAGTTCATAGAGATTAACCGTTAGTAAATATCAAAAAAAAAAAGAAAGAAAGAAAAAAAATTGTTTCTCTTCTAAAATAAAAGTTAATTCAATAAAATATTTTCTTAAGATTATTAATAAACTAACAAAATAAATCACATAAAGTTAATATTTAGATTTCCTTCGCCTTTTTTTTGTCTTCATGTTTTCTAAGCAGAAATCGAAAAAGGAAATATAAAACATGTCCAAATGTAGAAAATGTTACTGTAGATATTTGCATAAGAATAGATGAGTTTAACTAGTGATGTTTATTATCATTATGACGATGATGATGTGATATTGTTATCGTTCGTTTTCTTTCATAAAACAAGAATCATCCCTTTCTTCACAATATTCATTCCTTAAATACTCAACGATATCAGTAGTACGTGAGGAAATAAAAAGAGAATCAGCTTTGTTTATGACATGTGATATATCATGCCATAACAGATATAATATGATTAGATTTTGTATTTTAAGCTACTTGAAAAAAATAAAATTAAAGTAATCCTCTTCTTGTTCAATGATAAACAAACAAATGTGAATTAAAGTGATATTTAAAAATGGAAACGATTTAATGCCTCAAGCATTTATTTCTTTTATAAATTGTGTCGCTAAAATGAAGTTATTAAAATGAAAAAAAGTTTCAATGGTAAAACAAAAAGAAAAGTAAGATTTAATTCATTGATCTCTCTTTGAATCTGAATGGATGATTAGTTTATTATTGTTTTCAATCTATTGTTTTGCTCTCTTTTTTTCGTTCTCTTTGAAAAGATCATTGATGTTGATGATGATGATGGTGTGCAAACAAAAGATGAATTAAAGATGTGTGTGTCGAAAGCTCATTAGTTGTGAATGGTTGAGCGTTAACCGTATTGATCAAAGAATTGTCTAGAAGATTAACCACTTGAGAATAGTTCGTCAACCGACAATGTTTGTTAAATTCAACATGATAAATGATATTTTATATACCCCCCTTATGTTACCACACCCACCTTTTTTTCTCTCTCTCTATATTTTCATTTCAGTTTTAATTATCAAGGAAAAGTATTTCACAAATTGAATCTACCTGCAGTTTAATTTGACATTTTACGTAACAAATCTAATGATTATCAACATTATTTTCTCTTTTATAATTAGTCTTATCTTTTCTCACATTTCTATTTAACAAATTCTTTCTTGGTTACATCACATTGATTTCGTTATACTTGAAATAGTTGATCTAATGGGATGAATTCGAGATTTTCCAATGAATTATTTTCATATTCATTGAAATTGATATGAAAAAGAGAATTGTATGTTAAATAATTGAGATAATTGTCAATTTTAAAGTTCTCAAATAAAATCTTTATCTGTGATGAGCACGAGAATGCAATTAGGTTGATTTATTCATTTAAACAAAAGTTAATGTGAATAAATGACAATGATTATATTGACATATGAGAATGTCATCTCTTACTTAGATAAGAAAATATTTTATTTCAATTGGTTTGTTTTCATTTTCCACATATTTTTCTTTCCAATGAAAAAATTTTCCGAAGGAAAGAAAAAGAAAAGGAAGAAGAGAAAAAAGGAAGGTGTATATGTTTCATTTGATATTATTCTAAGAATGGATAAGATGATGAATGAAATGTGGACACATTTACCAATTGATCGTGCAAGTACACCGATTGAAAAACGTTCATTCCAACCTCAACCACAACCACGAACATCAACACCAAAATTATCCAAAATTAGTTATTCAAT